ATTAAAATTTTGACAATACACTCAATAAAGTGCAGAATAAAGTGCTGACAGATGATTAATTTGTGTGAAAGGCACAGTTGAACAGATACGTTTTGAGTCTATTTTTAAAAACACTTACACTTGCCTAAATGAGAATTCAACCAATTAATGTTCAAAAATCTGCATAATCCAATTGCTGCAATCACAGGTGTTCAGAATGTGTTTTGCAAAGTAGTTCATTGTAGAGAAACTTTCCAACTCAGATTTCTTTAGGCTACGTTCAGATGGCGAAATATTTTCCATAAATATTTGAACTGCAAGGAAGTGGAGCAGGCTGGATGGTAATGGGCAGGAAGTTCAACACCACATCACACATCACCCTGAATGCATAGACTCCAAAAACGAGCACTTACCGCGCTTCTTTTTGGAGGGGAAAGATGGGGTGAAACGCGAATTAATAAATAGTTCTTTTTGAGCTGAATATTTTTTAAATCTCAAGTGTGAGCAAAAATGTCTTACTGCCCCACATTCATTCTCCTGTTAAACTTGACCTGCCCTCTTTTCTGATTGATTACCTCGTGAAAAGCGTGTTGTGTGGAGGTTTTCCACTGAAGTTGAAATTTTTTAACTCAATCCAAGCAGAAATAAATACATTCAGAGTCCACAGAATCCACATCCTGCCGTAGGATATAATGCTATTTTAGCTGGAATACGCTGATCGCAGCCTCACACTGATGGTAAAATGAACAAGGGTTGCGATGTCTGCAACACAAAAATAGCCATTTTATCTACTATCCAAATCTAAACGTCATCTATGCTTTTATATGTATTTTTGAAAGCTGGAAAATAATAGAATAGCCAAAAAAGTTTTCTTTGAGTGCTGTTTAAAAAAATGTCTGCTTTAATATCTCTAAAAAGTAGGTGCTCGATGCTGTTTTATTTGCTGTTTTTCATTATGATTTCTCAAAGCTGTTGCATTTATTTGACATGCAAAGAATGTGATCAGCCAAAAAATCTGTGGATTTTTATTTTGTTTGACTAACTGGGTCCCAAACTGCACTCTGAATGAGCTTCTGCACTTACGAAGAAAAAATGTACAGTGCATCCAACAATAAAGAGAGCATCATGCATGTTATATGCAGTGACAGAAAACACTGTATGACACAAAAAGCTCAGATTCTACACATAGACATGCTTCACTCCCGCCAACAGCCTCTGACTGCAGATTTAAACGTGTTTAAGGGGCTATCACCAAATTCCTCAAATGGATTGAATGCTCAGTTTGACAGGGTTAAACACTTTGGATGTCTGGTTCCTATCACCACTGTTAGGGGCAATTCAGAATTCTGAGTTTCTGAAGAACGGATAATTTCACATCAAAGCACTCTGAATTACTTTGTTGAAAACCAATTTTTCATGTAGACATTTTGAGAGAATTCCCCATTAAAATTCCCCATTGAATTTACTTGTTACACTAGGAGGCTTATTATTTAGTAATCTGAACTGTGTCAATAAGCAAACTGACTTAAACTGAATTATTCTTAAGTTATAATGGTAAGGAATATACATTTTTATTTACTGGTGATTCCTGGCCATTTGAGAGGTCTGCTTACAGGATTCTGCTTTTATTGAAATTTATACAGTGACCTGCCAGATCCTGGTTAAGTTAGCATGCAATAACCCTGCACTCCCCAAAAAATTAGCACTGCATAAAAATTATTACTGTATCAGTTTTTCACTCAGCATATCTTTCATAACTGGCTAGTCTGAGAGAGTGTGACGAGCAGATATAGTAAAAGAAGGTGAGAGACAAGTATATCAGGACGAATGTGTTTACAACAACGGATCTACATAACAGAGATGTGCATGGACCGTGACTCCATTTGTTCAGCCCAGCTCCACAATGTCCAGTGTACGTTAGACAGCTGATGCCAGCAGGGAACAGTCAGATTTATGAGTTATGACTTAGTGCCAGTATTATATCTCTCCCCTGATTACAATTAAACAAGGAATCTGACATGCAACATACAATTAGGGCTCATAGATTTAAAGCAGTCAGGCCAGCATGGCTGTAAATTTGGGCAGATGAAATTGGTGTATATGTGTGGACACAGAAGTAGCACCTTCTGAAACGTATAGATCATTATCACAATAATAGTCTCTCTCATTACTGCTGGCCTGTATAGAATATTAAATGCAAATCTAATCCTGCCACACATGCAGAATGGAAAGTGCATAATGATACGCCATAAATCTCCGCAACGCAACACTTCTAAGACTCTTATGCTGGGCTTTAACACTCAGCAACGAATATCACCTATACACAATTAGATTTAGATGTTGATCGCAACAATAGCAGATGGCAATTAACCCCAGTGCTCTAATCTATTGTTTGCTGTAGTTGAGTCAGCTGGCTGAGTGGTTTGGGTATTGTTAGGTAGCTGAGTAGTCAGCATCAGTGTACAGGCAAGCCTGAGCAAGGGCTGAAAATAAGCCCTACGGTGAATCAATGGCTCATATTGACACATAGCATGAGGCCTTTGTGAGTGGAAACCATGAGTTCTGGTGCAAAGCTCTGATGTAGAGACTTTAACTACCTTTCAAAAGTTTGAAATCAATGTTTTCAAGTCTTTATCTACAAAACAAAAAGTCAAACTCTAACTTAGTTCAATAAGGTTCTATTTGTGAGCCATTCAGCACATCGAATACACACAAGAGGACCAATCAGGTTCTGCTTCTTTGTCACTGCACTGCTCAGTGACTGTGGGAAAAGTTCATAAAACTTTAAAACATGAAAAGATGTTGCTGAAACTCTGCTTGTCTTCTTGCAGTTCTTGAAAAAGTCTTATTGCCTTACATTTTATAAGCCTTAAAAGTAATTAAATAGTAAATATTTGAATGGATGGAGTCTTAATTACAACATGTACACTAATTTCATTAATTCATCCAACTTTTCTTTTTCTTCTCCCTCCCAAAATAAGACATTTTGGTGCATTTCTGATGTAAAACAAAACTTCATAGTGCCTTTAGACTGATCTACCACACTTACTTGCTGGGACAGTTTGTTACAGTAGCCGGTTGCTGTCTGACCTAAAGGAAACTTAAACTAATGGTTCCTACCTAAAATTGACCTCTGCAGTGGACAAAATATTTAACACTGACTTTATACTTAATCTACAATCTTTTAATAAGGAAAAGATTATTTGTCCTAAAACAAGGAATAAATGTAAAAAAAATAGTAATTATAATAAATGTCATAGAAAACCTTTTGTGTTTAGGAAACTGTTTGTGTTTCTTTGAAAACCATCGCTTCTTTTCATGTGTTGCCAGATAGAACCTTATAATTCCAACCAAGAAGTGAGTTCTTGGGATTAGAAAGTTCTATCTGCATTTGACCTGTTCCAACAAATCTTTACAAATTTGATAGGATTTTGATATATATTTAGAATAGATTTAGGGTGTCTGTCATTTTAATGTATGAAAGAGACGTGTTCCACATATGAGTTTTGCTCTTTGGAAGGCAAAATCTTTGAAGTCTTAAAACTGCTCAGAACGCAGATAGAACCCTATAATTCCAAGGGGACGAAGTTTATAAAATTATTCTAATATGTTGTGTCTGTGCTACAGCTTCAAAACAATTAGTTGGACACTAAGAAGCTATAAATAAAAATGAAATGTTAGATGCATCCCGACTGATGAACAGCGACATAAATGATTCAAAGACAGTTGAGAAAGCTGTACAGCCTCCAGAATTCACCATATTTCAAAGGTGGAGACCAAATCTTGAGGGAGATACCTTGATCAAAAATAATATAAATAGAAAATGTGAGTATACGATTTATTATTAAATAACAGTATGTTATTTATCATTTAATAACTTCACATAAATCTTGTAACAGTTACTGTGGTGAATAGTTTGTAATATGTAGCCCTTCTCTGCAGGCCCCCTAGTGACCATTTTGCCAGCAAACTGGAAATTGCCTTGGACCACCCAAATAATGTCTGGTCAATAGTGGTCCTGTGGTCAGAAACTGACCATGGTTAAATGAGGTAGAGGGTGACTGCCAAATTGTGTTTCTATAATTGTACATCTAAATATTGGACCTAAATAGGTGGACCTCATGTGGCCAGTGTGGGGAAGTACAAGACACTAAAAAAGTAGATGGTGAGTGTAGATTCATTCACTATGGTACATGTGTCAGGCTCCAGTCCTTGCTGGCCAAAACACTGCAGACTGCCTCATTAAACACACCTGATTCAGCTCATCAGCTAATCAGCTAATTAGCAAGACCTTCATGAACTGAATTCAGAGTGTTAGATGAGGGTAAATGCTAATCTCTGCAGCACTTTGGCCTGGAAAGTCCCCAGTTTGACACGTCTGCTCTGTGGGTAACAAAATGACCAAAGATAAGAGATAGAGAGTGACTGTCAAGTTTTTTCTGTAATTGTGTGTCTAAAGAGTGGACCTATAAAGTAGTTGGACCTCAAGAGGCCAGTGAGTGGAAGTACAAAGTAGGGCTTGTTAATAAAGTGGATAGTGAGTGTAGATTGATCCAGCAGTGCTGGAGTGGGTCATCATAAGAGTCAGGAGACTTCTTGGTGGGCTGGTAATGTTTTAGGCCAATTACTGGGGGCGAACATATCTAAACTCATGCATATAAACACAGGAATATAAAGTGTAAAGGTTGCAAACTGTAAAAGTGTCAACAAAGTATATATTTGTGGTAATTTGAAGGGGTTAAATCAGCAGCCAAGGTTGGCTAAATGTAATTGGTCAGATAATGAATCACACAGAGTAGGTATGGAGTAGCCTGTTAAAACTGACCGGAACTAAATTAGCTAGTATTAGCATTTCTCCAGTTTCCATTTTATGACTGGTATTATAGAAAATAAATAAGAGTAGGAAATAGGTTAATCTAATTTTGCTGGCCTAATTTGAGCACACTGTAAACTAGCCTTTCTCTAAAAAATGGGAAAAGAGTCTTGTGTATGATTATCAGAGAATGAAACAGAGACAAAGAAATCTTCAAATATTATATTATTGCTCATTGCCAGAATGAAACTGATACAATAAATTAAAACAATAATGCATAAAACATTAAATAGTCCATTTAAATTGCAGTTACCTTTTTTCTTTTACATATATATATATATATATGTAATAATTCTGCATACATGTAAAGCTTAGTACTGCTAGGGTGCAGCTTGTCTGTTTGTAGGTAGCCAGCCATTTCTGAGCATGCCCAGTGAACAGTAGTATGTCTGAGAGTTCATCTCAGTTTAACACACAGTCTATCTTCACAAACTATTGAATCCTCAAGGCAGCTGATAACACTGTTGACAATATTAAAGAGCCCTCTAAAATGATCTCAAAAATGGAGCGTAAATATAATACAGCAAATATTTTACTTTAAAGTTGTTGTCGGGCTGATAGAAACAATCTATTGCTTTGTAACGAGCTCATTCATATTGACGTTTCTTTAGCCATGCTGTAAAATAAATTTCCCTAGTGTGAATCCTTCATGTGGAGGGCATCTCAAGATGACACGTTTGCACGAGTTCATTTTTGCCCTTTGGTGTGACTTATGTCATCTACTCCATTATCCCTATCACATAAGTACAGGGAGCACCAAAGCTCTACAGCACTTTGGACCGTTCTTTGGAGAACATAGCGCAGTGGCTCATAATTGCATGCATCTGTGCATGCACCATGTCCTTTCCCAACTGGTCTCTCCCAAGTAATCTCTGTTCAGTCCAGTAAAACCATATGAGAGAGAGCAGATCTTTCAAAATAGATCTCTCTAGTAAGTAAAGTCTTCTTTCATGTGGTATCTCTGAGCTTTGGAAGCTTCACAGTGGCCAGTATCACTTCAGACCTTTTTTTTGTCATGATACCTCGATGACTTCCATGCTGCCGGAAAAGCTGGACTGCTTCCCAAGCTTGCCAAAGTCTTCTGTGCTGCCAGTCGTGATCTCTTCAAACTCCATCTGGCAACTGCGCCGCTTGAACTGTGTCTCCATCTGAGGTTTGTCCCAGGACATCTGTACACTGGAACTGGGAGCACTGCTCAAAGTACCACCAAATCGCACAGAGCTACCAGCAGTTGTCACCGAAGAGCCATCTAGGTCTGAGCCAAAGAACCACGGGTGTTCTTCCGTAGGTGTGATGGGTGTGGTGGCTTGGGTGGTGCTTCTGTGCTTGGTCCAGATGCCAGAGGTATCCAAGGGCAAGCTGAGGAAGGAAGATGCCTTCCCATTGGTGCCATGGACAGGGTCATGTATTACTGGAATTTGCTTATTCTGGTTTAGATTGAGAGAAAGAGTTGTAGCTGATAACCTCTCAAATCTACCATTGTCTTGTCTGTCCATCCGGTGACTTAGCTTTGGTTCCATCATGACAGGTGAACACTGTGACTCAGCTGGACTTGGGATGTCTTGGGATGAAGCATACCGGCACTCATGGTTGGTGTTCTTTGGACTGTCAAGTTTGAAAAGCTTGGGCATGTTTTCTGAGTCTGTTTGTGAGATACTGGGGGAGGCTCGACGGTGCTGGTTTGAAGAGTAGACAGACTTGATGTCGAGGGAGAAGGAACATTTGAGTCGGCTGTTGTGGAGGACTTGGTCTGCAGACAGGTTGAGGCTGCTGAGGTCTCTCTGCAGCGAGGTAGGTGAGGGCGGCTTGGCTTTCACCACCACCGTTTCTTGGGTTCTTTGGTAAGGCCGGCTATTCTCGGTGCTCTGCTCCACTATGACCTTAGTGGCATCCTCGGGGTGGTCAGGTGTTGACCTCAGAGGGCTGCATGGTAAAGGGGTCTTCAGCTTTAAGTCTCTCTCAAACTCCAGCAGCTGTCCTAGGAAGTTGAAGTTAGGAGATATCGAGGGCCGACGATCTTTCACAAACCTGTGTAAAGGACAGACACCGAGAATTGTTTTTTGCTTTGATCCGCATTGCTTTGTCAATGTGTTACATCTTTCATGGTGGATATATCTCAGAATATTGGCAATGTTATCCACAGTACATAAACCTTAAACAGTATCTAATAGCTACCTGTAGGCATCATCCGATGACAAGCCCATGGTTTTCATGATGTAAGCGATGGCAATGGTTGCGGAGCGGGAGATTCCTGCCAGACAGTGGACAATGACTCTACAGTTTGACAATTTGGCTTTGTCTGAAGAAAGAGGGAGAGGACGAAAGAGAGGGAGAGAGAGAACCAGTCAAAACCAGCAACGCCATTACAGCACCAGTAAAACATCAGGGTTACATTATTTTCCCACCTCAAGTGCTGACAACACTCAGACCTCCCATAAAGTGCTTCTCCAAAATCTGAATTGGTCTACCGTAATTCTAACCTTCGTCATTACAGTAAGTGGAATAGTTGAGCTATTCTGGGTTGACCCAGTCAGGCTTATTCCCTATGCTGTTTCAGCAAACTGTATGGTTTGAGGCAAATATTCTTACCAATGAATTCATTGGTTTTCTCCAGCCAGGGAAGCAGCTTTTCACAGTAGCTGTCGTTGACGGGAATGCGCAGGAAGTGGTTCTCGCTGATAAAGTCTGGCTTTGGACAGGTGTTGCTGGCATTCAGGACGTAGGTGATACCATTCTGAGCCATGAGTTCCTGTGCAAACAACCCAGAGGGTGGAGATGTAGAAGTCAACAGTGAAGATAATGGCATATTTTTCAAAAAGAATGATCCAAGATGGACTGAAAGAACCAGAAGCAGTCGGCAGATTGCAGACTTTTACCTAGGATAATTGGCCCATATTTATTTAACTTCTCAGAAGAATGCTGATCTGGGATCAGTTTATGCTTTTTAGCACTGAATGGGACATAGACTGATGAGACTTGATCTTATGTCAGATTTCTTTCTCTGAGACGCTTGATAAAAAAAATAAATATGAGCCAATGTTTTTCAGGGCCAGGCAGGACAACAGACACATCCTTTATCTCTTTCAGTGTCAGAGGTACGCAAATATGATACAGAACAGTTGAGTGCCAAGATATTTTTTGTCAGTGAGACCACTTGTTTTGACAGTTGACGGTACCACCATTCAGTGCAATTCAACTTCACAACAAAGGAAAATGATTTCAAGGAATGCGCTCTGTGTCCTGCTGCGGGTGATGTAATAGAATGTATGCAACTCGTAAACAATTTACTGGTACAGAAGAAAACCCTTAAGGTGAAAGGAAAACATGTGAGATATGTCGTTTGAATATTAACACTTGAATTTTGTTTTCAGATCTGCTGACATGCATGCTAAATTGATATGTAAGAATGGTTTGAGTTTACTCATGGAATGTTTTTATATATATATAATATATGATGTCTGGCCCAAAATTACTTGCTAAAAAGTCTGGTTCCATTGATTTACATTGAAGGTAAAGTATGTTTTATATATATTTTTATATATCTATATCTATCTATCTATCTATCTATCTATCTATATATATATATATATATATATATATATATATATATATATATATATATATATATATATAGATATATATAGATAGATAGATACATAGATAGATATAGATATAAATAGATGTAAATTACTTTTCAGTAAAATTCTTTAGATTTAGAAGCAAAATATGTCCCTGAAACCCACCAAGTCTTTGTAAAACCATTCAGTAACCCATCCACCTATCTTACCTTGTTGAGGACATCTTTCTGTGAGCCCAGGTACAGGTGAGGCAGAATGCGGGTTGGGCCCAAGTTGGCCACAGGTAGGCATGGCTGAGACAGGCTGAGGGGGAGTATAGATGCCTGCTTGCTCTCACACAGATCAGGGAAGCAGGAGGAGAAGGCTGCAAAGCCTCCTAAAGCACAGAACGAGAGAGAGAGAGTATGGCTTGAAATTTCTTGAATATGACATACACAACAGTAGCAACAATGGAGGGACTTTCCTAACATCCTTACACTCAGAATCACATAAGCGCTCTCCCACAGGAGCGCAGCTGACTTTCCGCATCCTGCCTGACCAAGGCGTCTGTAACTACACTAGCAGACCTGGCTAGAGCATGTGCACCTTCACCTAGAGACAGTACAAGCCTTCTGTTGGTTCCTAAACTTGGTTTTTAATGGAATTCTTTGGGCAGTACTCTCAGCACTTAAAATAAGCTTAAAAGAACACAGTTTTTTTTTTAACTTGCCACATCTGTAGCATGGACAATCATATTTAATGCTGTAATTTTGAAAAGAACATTGACTTCAAACATGTTATACAAGCAACTGGGTAGTTGCTGAATTGCATCAGCCAATTTTTGGTAAAACACTTCTTAGAATTCTTTAATCAGGATTGTTTGTAAATTGAGCTGGAACTTGTTTTCCAGGGGGAAAGAACTGGTGGGAGTTCTTTACCAGCATAGAGCTGTGGGTGGAGCTTTCACAGGCTCCTGTCTAATTGCTTAAGGATACCAAGAAACCTTCAGGAAAGCGAATATAATTGAAAGTACTTTTTGTTCAAAAGCTGAGTATAACTTTGTGGCAAAGGATGCAGTTTTTGCATTATGGAGTCAAATATTTGAAGTTTATTCATATAATTTAGCAACTGCCCATTGACTTCTATTATAAATGACTTCCCAGTCAACAGGTTTTCTGTCCTTTTCTAAGCACAGGGAAATGGATTGAAATGATCTCCTGTGGTAATTGATGGAATGATCCCGATGTGTCCCACAGAGTTTAAATTCAAAAATGTTGACGTGCACCTTTAATAATTAAACTACTGTTATATTTAGTAGTGAGCCTCAGCCAATGGAGGCTGTGAACCAGCTCCAGTATTTGATTGCCAGGTTCATCCAAAGGAATGATAAAACAGGGTTGTGAAAGGGCATCACTGTCCCTTTAAGAGGCAGATAGGGTGTCAGTGTCTGCTTCTCCGCTCTCTGCTTCCTGCATGATCTCATCTCCTCTCCCAGAGAACAGCATCACAGTATGGGAATGAAGTAGGCCACAAGAGCACATCCACCCAACCACGGTCCAGGGTCTTACTCACACGCATGCACTAACTTTAAAAACTGGGTCTGCATTGCTTAAAAAAACAAAAACAAAACAACAACAACATGTAAACAACCACAAATGTAAACAACCACAAACACCAATGGGCCAAAGGGTACAGAGCGGAATCCAGGACTCTTAATCATACATAAGAGTACATATTACTCACTTAGACAAACAAACCCTCTACAGCTCCAGCCACTGACCTTCCTCGAGCCAGTCCATTTCAGCAGTTTCACAACCTACGTCAGTGTATTTTTGGATCTTACAGCTCTAATAGAGCCAGTCCCAGCCCCCTCCCTCTCTTTAGCAGCATATTACCTCACGCCTAAACACAGCACCAAATTAGCCCTTGCGCTAATGGGCACATTCAAACGCCTTACACACAGATTCTCTAATTCCCTTATTTAGTGCATGAGGAAACAAGGAAAAGATATGAAAAAAAGATAGATAAAAAGAAAAGCAGCCTCCTGTCTTCTACGTGTGACCAGGGAAAAGAAGGCACCAGTGTAGTTGCTTAATTTAGACCGCTGTTCTGGAATCAGGCTTTCAATCTGTGAGGTGTTAGCTCAATTTCCAAGTAAGGCTGGCAAGCATGGGCAATGACATCACCTCGGATTAAAAGCTCAGGCTTGGCTTGATCTCTTGATCATTCATCTCACACTTGCACAAACACACATATGCACCGAACATGTTCTTGCTGTCAATAAAACCTTGTATCTCTGAAATGGTAACTTAAAAGGAACCGAAAAATACTTAAAGGGCCCATATTGGGGAAAAAAGATTGTTTAAATCAGTTTTATAATGTAGGAGTTTTATTTAGTATGTAAACACTTCTAAAATGTCCATCTGTACAGTCCATATATGGAAAGCAAGCTGCAAAAACAGCCCATTTTGATTTCAGTTTTAGAGATGTCGTACAGTCATACAGTCATATGTAAAAGTTTGAACACCTCTGATTATATTATGTTGATTTTCTAAGTGAAAATAAGTTCATCCTTTGCAGGGAGCAAACTTAAATATGAAAGCTCACAAGAGTTTAATATATTTGATCGTAAAATCTAAAAGATGCCATAACTTTTGCACAGGCCATTTTATTTTATTGTTGAAAGATGATAAGACATGATTTTATTCCAATTTTTTTTTGACCGTTTCTATTGGTCCATTCATCATAAAATGTTTACATAATGTATAAGAAATGGTGTTCAAATAAATAAATAAACAAATAAATGAAGTCTTCATATGTCAGTGATGACACACACACACACACACACTCAACACACTCACTCAAATGAGTAAAGGTGGGTGGGAAGGCATTTAAACGACGCTTGAATTATGAAAGGAAGGAGAGAAAGCTAGAAATAGGAGGACATGAGAGTTGAATTTAGGCAACAAAGCATGAAAGAACAGATGAGCTCAGAGCAGTGAGGTAAGAGTTGGTAAACAGATACATGTGACTGCGAGGGAGAAAGAGAACAGAGTGAAGCTTGATATCAGGCTTCATGTACCCATTCACCCAAGCCGTTCATTCGTTCATTGGTTTCTTCATTCATTCTTTCACTTGCTGTTCCTGCCAGGTCAGCCGCTCATTTGCCTATTCAAAAAGATACAAATGAAGGAAGCCTACGTTTCTTTGTGGCTCTGTTGTCAGTGCATGTTTCACATGAGATCACTCAGCGAGGCCATTCTATCATATAGATTAGCAGTGAGTCAAAGCACACAAACCTGTCCCAGATGCTTTAACTAGCTTCTTTACACTCTGACTCATGAATGACATCATGACAGGTCCTGTCACGAACGGCCTCGGCGTTACACAAGCTCCATCTGCTGCGTGCAAAGCCAGCGACTCTCCAGCCGGGGCTTCGCAGGCCGCCGTGAGAAACCTCAAGGTGGTGCAAAGGTGAGAAGTGTGTTTTTCTAAGTACTGCCCTTTGATAATGGAGGCGCGTTTCCCAATAATACCAGAGCGCCAAACCCTCCTCAGTGCACCGAAAGGTCATACTTTCAGTGCTATAGAAAAGCGGCAGTGTGCAAAGGTCCTAGTGCCCCTGAGAAAGTTAGGTTAAAAGTATTCATCTCAGCAGTTAACATCTATTTGATCTGAAAAACACAAAGAACACACTTCTAATGCACAGTTACTGTTTATGTGCTGGTTTTTATAAATTGGGAAAAACTAAAATAGAAAATGTGGCATGTGTTGTGTTGTTATCCAATATATTAAACTTGGCAAATAAATAGAAATTGATCATTAAAATTTGAACAAAAGTCATGTTTACGTGTGTCCCCTGTAAATCATTTGTTAGCTTATTTCTACCTAGAAAACCCACATTATTTGACTGGGTTTGTTTAAACTTTTGCATATGTCTGTCCCGAAGAGTGAGTGATACTTTTCTGAAATTTTAACGATGCTTACATAATATATCAAATTCTTTTTATTTAAAAAAAAAGGGTGGGGGAAATTCAGTGTCTATGATATGGGCCATGGCCTTGGCTGACCTGCTTGGTACTGTGAATGCAGTCTCTATACTAAAATACAGTTTTTGTTTAATGCATGTTTTTAATTGTTTTGTGAGGTGCCTGGAAGGAAGTGTGTAGTGTAAGGCAGGACAGGAAAAGGCTGGAGGGTACTGAGCGATTATTCCAGCTGTGGCTGGCCCTTTAAAGCTCCGCTCAAGGCCTGTCTGTTTCTAACTATTAAAAGCAACTGCCAAGCAGTATGACATCATCGCTCAACACATGGGTGGCCAGCGGGCTGTCTCTGGGTTGCTGTACACACACACACACGCATATGCACCAGTTGTATCCTACACCCACGGCCTGTTTTGGCTAACACCTGGTGTTACCAACTCAGTACTTGTTTCCTAGCTTTATAATGTGATCAGGGCCAAGGCCAGTTACTGATAGAGAGAGCAGGCATACATTTGAACTGAATTAGGCATAGCTGAATGCTGTCATTACATAATGTAGGTGTCAGTGGAGCATAATAGAACTTCTCCACAATAATCACAGATCACTTTTATAGTCCCTTACGTTCTAGGTAATATCCAGGTAAGTGTGAGGTATAAACTGCAAAGTACTTGATAATCATTTAGGGAAAGATGGTAAGTTCTGAGAAATTACTTCGAAAAGCCAAACAGGATATTAGAATACATTTAGGGTACAGTCTCTAAAGTACTGTGTAATTACTTTGGGTAAAAGCCGCATGGTGGTGCAGTGGGTAGTGCTGTCACCTTACAGCATGAAGGGCCTGGGTTCGGTTCTCTGGTCAATCAGGGTTCTTTCTGTGAGGAGGTTTGCATGCTCTCTGTGTGGGTTTCCGGTAAAACCACAGTAAGAATCATTGCTTTCTTTTACAGCCCAGCTTCAGTGTCAGTTTATAGCTTATAGCATTGGTGCAAACAGTGGGTGTGCAATAGTGGGAAATGTCCCTTCCATTTTTTAAAATTACCCAAGATCATTTTGCACCCCTGGGTAATAGACAGGTACGACTCTTTGTTCATCTAGAATCTTTTTGCATCATGTAACTACCTGCTGCTTTTTATCCCAAACAATTACACAGTGCTGTGAAGTTTGTGCCACCAGTTAATACCTACAACCTGTTGGGCATTTAAGTGTAATTTAGGTAGATTGCCTTGGAACTTATCCTACCCAATTACCTAATCTTTGGAGTTTGTACCTCACACTTTCCTGGTTAATACCTAGAACTTAAGCGACCATAGAGAAAGTGCTACCCAATATTCCACAGATAATGCATTACAATTTGCAGATAATCAGGAACAGTAGCTTGTCCTCAGTGCTCTGGTCAGCATACGTCTCATTACTCTCAGCTGTGTTGTATCAATACTTAAATCCTATCAATAAAAACTTTAAACACAAAACTGTTTTGCATAGGATAGTAGAATGTTTATTTGAGCAGTATGGATTTGCTTTTAGATGACCTTCAACAGTACTGGGTGTAACATGGTACAACACAAGTGTTGTGAAATTCAACAGTTTAAATTACTGACACAGTTACTGACTTAACAAGGATTTTGTCACTTGCATTATTCATATGTCTCTGGAAGAATGATATTACTTTTATGCAATGCAATTACATCATAAGTTTCATCTATATAGATTATTTGTGCCTGTCCTTTTACCTAATCTGTTGAAGCATCTAATCATGCTAATATGAAAATTATGGATAAAGATCCCCATGCCGAAGAAGAAAGAGACATCATCTAAACAGGGTTGACTTGATTTTTATTCAGCTTTGTAAGGTTTAAGTTTTATTCTTGAAGGTTTTATTTAAGGCAGCTTGTTTCTGAATTCTTTCCACTGGCTAGTTTTAGGGTTTTCAAACAGCTAGTAGCCAAATTAGTCATTTATTCAGCTTAACGGACTGTATGTTCAGAGCCAAGGCAGGGACAGTGACATGCCTTTTAAATGACATCTACTGCGATTGACTGTTTCTTTCCAAATAATGGGCTGAGAGGGCTATTGTGTGTTTCTGTTGTACTTTCCAGTTGGTACAGATTCGTCAAAGTTTAGAGAGTAACACAGAAGCAAAGTTATAAGTAGCAAGAATCCTTTTGTCAGGTAAAATGGTAATGGCAACAACTTTTTTAATAACTACCTGAACAGTGGCCATCAGTATGACTTATCAGTCAAGATTTAAGGTTTCAGTATCGATATTAGAAAAGGAAAGGTGGCACTGTGCCATCTCTGGTTATCATTCATTGATGTTAGATGCGTCATGCAACTGGTTTGGTGTTATTGCTTCAGATTGTGGCAACAGTTCAACATTCCCGTCTTCTTCTTTGTCTAGGGCTCAGTATTAATTCGGTGACATCACTAACCCAGAGAGAGTCTCTGTAGACCAGGCTTAGGGGCCTTCCCACTTAGCATCATTAGGGCTGAGTCAATGAATTTGCAATCAAATAAAACGTCTAAACAAATGCCCCGTTGCAACTCTCTTTCAAAGCATGTACAGTGGGTAACACATCCCCTTTTTGTTGGGAACAAATAGCGCTCATCCCAAACAGGACAAGTCAGAGGGGGGCAGTCCCCACTGAAATGAAATCATCCTATATGCATGGCCTGCTAACCTGTGTATGTGTGTGTGTGTGTGTTGGTGGGGGGGTTAAATTCAGCGCAGTGTTGTATTTAAGTCTTTGCTTAGCAGCAGCCTACAACAAGCTTGAGCTAAATATGTGCATGGGGGGCATGCCAGCTCAGGCAAGTAAAGGCACATTCAGACTGAGGGCAATGATACCATACCATTTCTGCCATGCCAGGAATCATCAGCCTGCCACTATTTGGCAATACTTCATTAACTGGGGGCTCAAAAAGCAGGACAGCATTTAAATCAGGATCCAAAAGAAGTTTTACGGAGGTAAATCCAAAGTCATTTTCTACTCTGAGTGAATTTTAGCTCATTCAGAATGACAATCATGATCGTTTCTAATATGTTTTTATAACAGCATACAAAACAGATCACTTTAAGGGCCCTTAACACCCAGTTCATGATTAATTACCCCCACACAGTCTATGAAATACTGAAATGTGAAAGAACAAACGTGTAGTTTCCAAAGAGAACTCATTGTGTATACGTATGATATTCGCTCTCTTCTTCGACGAGACTGAATGAGAGAGAGAAAAAAGCCTCAATCTTACTCAATAACACAGTGCATCCTAACAACAAGGGTACAAGAGGGATTAACCTGCTAATACTGGCGCCCAGCAAGCAGGGCCTTAATCCAGTGTCTATATTCGCTTATCTACACAGCCAGAGTCAGTTTATGCTAACCATAATTCTTGCAACTCAATATGTCACATAATTACACAAAGTCTCCTGTTTAGCATTTACATTAATGAGAATGCTTACACTTTCTTTGTCTTTATGTTTATGTCTTCTATTAAAATTCATAAACTGGCCTTAAGCATGGTGAGGCGGCATATGACAATTGTGTACTTTTGTATACTTTTTAAATTTGGAAGCTAGGTCAATTATCTTCTAAACTCTAAGGGTCTATATTTGTGTCTACACTTCCTCACTCTTATAACTACACACACTTTCTCACGCTTATAACTACAGAACTCACATATTAGTTTCATAGTAATTACTGCTTAATAAGCCTGCAGTTCAGTGGGTTAAAGACATTACATGTCACAGTCTGTCTTTGCAGGTTGCAGAAATACACAACTGAACACTTGAAAACAAGCAGCAACTCTTTCATTCACTCAAGCATTCACTCACTCACACGCTCACTCATGCAGTCATTCACTCACACGCTCAAGCTTTCACTCACTCACTCACTCATGCATTCACTCACACGCTCAAGCATTCACTCACTCACTCACTCATGCAGTCATTCACTCACACGCTCAAGCATTCACTCACTCATTCATGCAGTTACTCACTCACTCACTCACTCACTCACTCTTTCACTGACTCGTCCTCTCACCAACTCACTCACTCATCCATTGGCGATCTCAATCACTCACTCACTCACTCTCTCTCTCACTCACTCGCCATTAACTTACTCATTCACTCACTCTCTCATACACCCAGTCACTCATTTACTGGCTCTTTCATGCTCTCATCCACTCACCCCTTCACTCATCAGTCCCTTGCTCACTCATGCATTCAGTCATTTACTCGCTCACTCACTCACTCACTCACTCACTCATGCATTTACTCACTTATGCATTTACTCACTCACTCACTCACTCACTCACTCATATTGTCTCTCATTCACTCATTTACTCACTACTCACTCACTCACTCACTCACTCACTCACTTCCTCCATCTCACCCATGCTCGTACCCACCTCGTAAGTCGCGTCCCTCTTTGATGCGCCGCACACGAATCTTCAGCTTCATCTCACTCTCGTGCATGTCTGTCCACAGTGGAGGAGCAATCACCACGTCAACCGGCATCCAGGCAAGCACTCAGAGTCCACTCAGGATCCACTCAGGGTCCACTTAATTCAGTTTAAAATTATTTCTGCAGCACTTTTTACAACAGGGTCCACTCAGTGTCCACTCAGTGCACAGCCAAAACTGCAGAGAAATCTTCACTGTGTCCACTGTGACATTAGAAGTCAACAGCTACCAGCTGTTCCCAGATGAGTGCGTTCGCCTCAGTGTCCGTCTGATGGAGCTGCACTCTTCACTGTCCGTATGAGTGTTCTAATCTGACTTGAACTGCGAGTGCAGTCCCTGTATTGTGGAACCTCCTCCCTTTCCCCCTCCCTTTCTCTCTCTCCCTCTCTCTCTCTCTCTCTCTCTCTCTCTCTCTCTCTCTCTCTGAATGAGCTCACAGCCTGTGTGTGCAGCGGCTGTGCTCTACTGGGGCCAGTGTTCACTAATAGCTCATGTGTAAGGCATGTAACCACATTCCTTACTCACCACACAAATATGCGGCCACCTCTGGGGCCGCCACTGTGCTCAGGGGGTAAAAAGGCTCCTACGCCAGGCCGGACACGGCCCTGTGTGTTTGTGTGTTTGGAGAAGGAGGGGGTATAGTTGTTCTTTGTAATCAACAAAGGAACTCTAGTTGTGTTTTGCAGGACTGGACTTATTACCACAGAGGTCAGTGTTCGTTTATGTAATGAGTGCAGTCACCGCACACTCAACCTGGACTGTAAGTCAGAGGAAATTTCTGATCTGACTCATTTACGGTAGGTAAGACGTAAGATGTTTGTCATTTTCACCAGGTTTGGTAACAATGTGATGGCAGTTCAGTTTACCTTAACCCCTTAAACCTCAGGTGTAACTAGATAAATAGATGTAAGCTTTAAGCTTTAAGCTTTAGCTTAAGCTTTAGCTCATCTATAGCTGCTTTTCTCACATCTCTGGCAGGAAACATTTCCAAAAGTAGAATAGTTTCTTGGAAAATCTCTCTCAACATACAGGTTTTATTCAACAGATTCTTGTTCGAATTCTTCCGTTCCACCTTAAATGGTGCCTGAGGTGCCAGAATGTAACTGCTGCACTATTTAAGGTGGAACAGGAGAATTCGAACCAGAAGCTAGCAGGCGAGAAACTGACTTCAGCCTTCTGACTTTTTGACAGTTTCTCATAGCAAATTAAACGCATCAGGAAATGAGCTGAGTGCTTATTAATGCAAATAAATCTATTCATCTCCAAATTATCAATGTTTGTCTTAAATCTTTCTCTTGTCATTTTGTTAGTTACTTGCTAGGCGAGACTGTTGTCTGCATTGCTGTGACCAGCAGTCTGCGTGCCAACCTCCAGGTTAGAGGGTGAATAAGCAGTTATACATTAACTCCAGTGTTTAAGACCATTTATAGTTGAAATTGTGTTTGAATGACCAGCAGAGCTTTATTTTACTGCAGAGGAGGATTATTTTATTTTTGCATAAAAAAAATCTGCTGTATGAAGCTCCAGACCTGCAAGTTGCTGACCCCTGGGTTATCCCTTCAGGAACTAGACTGAAGGCCTTAAACATTACTGACAGGAGAATCAGTCAATCATGTTTTTGTAAGAATAAAATTGACTCTAGGCCTTCTAGAAGTCTTAGATACATCACTGACTGAATTGTGTGGTAGGCTGAGCAAGTTTCCGTCATTTTTAGAAAGTCGTAAAAACTGCTACAAGGTAAAACATGTCTTTCTGTCACATATTCGGACTGCATTTCCCAGAATACATTGGGAGATCACGTGTCAGAGCAACTTCCCTCGGACTCGGAGTCCGTAACAGACTCCATTGCCCACAGTCCTTCAGGAGATCACATGACCTCAGGCAATCACTCGCGCACCTATCATAGAGGTGCTAGAGGACATTAACATTATAGTAGAGGTGTATTTTCTTCTTTTTGGACTACGTTTTGACATTTATGGCCTGAACTGAAGGCCTAGCTCTAATAGTCACAGTTGCCAATGAGACAGACAGACAGACAGATAGACAGGTATATGTGCTTTACTCACGCCCAAGGGTGCCACATGCACTTTACATTGTGTGAACATTGCCTGATGAATGGACCAATACAAATCATCCAAAATGATCTTGCTGCATTAAAATAAACTGAAATAATAAAGTTATCATTTCAGTATTTGAGGTTTTGTTATGACAGTGATGATATACATGTTATGAAATGCAAAGGCAAGAAAAAGTGCACTGCACAGAATTGCAATAGCGAAAGTAAATGGAGCATTAAATCTGGTGGCAAGGAACATTCACACTCTTTACTGTCGCTCTATAAAAGACACATGTAATACGACACTCAGGTCAAAATCCATTCACATATAACCTTCAATGAAGCACAAACGCATTCAAAAAGAAAAAGTGTAAATGGAGACGCTGGCTGCACCTCGCCTGCCTGCTTTGTTTCAGCACTTCTGCTGCAGTGAATGTGTGTATGAGTGTGTGTGTGCGTGTGTGTGTGTGTGTGTGTGTGTGTGTGTGTGTGTATGATTGTGCATTTTCAGAACAAAATGTTCTGTAAAGTGTTTTTCCAAAAGCTGTAACAATGTTTAATTTATTAAAACTGAAAGGGAAACTGTTTTGTGTTGCATACTGAGGTTTAGATTAATGTTAGGTTTAGGGTCAGATTAGGGTTAGGGTTAAATTTATATTATATAAAGACATATGTTATAATCCTGTAATCCCCCTTTTTTATATGTTCATGTAATTTGAAAACGTCAGCTGGTCTTTACATTGTGCAAAGACTACATGTTAAATAGACCAATAGAAATGGTTCTTGTTTCATTAACTTAGATTAACAGGTAAGAAAGGTTTTTTTTTCTCTTTTTCTCGCTCCTGTAAAGTCCTTATGGAGACAGTGGTGATGTCTATAATACATATGGGACATATTTTATTGTTACAGTTTATTGTTGCATAGAAGTAGGTATAATTACAATAAACCAGTTGCATAACATTATTACATAAAAATACTTACATAATACTTACAAGTAAAATCTTGCATCTCCTAAAATATTACTTATATATATACAAAACATACTTTAATTTTTATGTAAGTCAATGGAACCAGACTTTTTTTTTGGAACCAGAATTTTGGGTTATTTCTTTTGGTCCATTCATCATGCAATTTACATACAACATAAAAAGCAACAGGCATACAAATTATTTCAAAAACTGAAGGCAGTTTTGGGCAGAAGGCAGAATATACAGTATATATAGTAAACTTCATTGCTTATCCAAAATGAGTTCAACATTTTTAACTTTTAATGGATGTCAGTGTAAAAATACTGTAGTCCAGTTATTTGGGATGATTTCTGTTGGTTCAATGGAAATTTGACACAATATAAAGGGAAGCTGGTATTGATGAAAATTGACACAAATAGACTTACAAGGTTTTGTTCCAACAGCGATGATATGGAACACATGTATGACCTCAAATTCCTTGAAGCTGTGCAAAAACAAACCTGTGTGTGTGTGTGTGTGTGAGAGAGAGAGAGAGAGAGAGAGAGAGAGATTGTGTGTGTGTGTGTGTGTAGTGCAGTGTTGGAGTTCAGGGCTGCCGAAAGTCAGAGAGAACCTGAGAGGCAACGTCAGCTCTGGAGAGAGGGTTCAGGTTCCTGACTTAATTGAGAGGCTTTTCGCCAAGAAGTGTCCACGTTGTTTTGGATCCAGGCAGAGAGAGAGAGAGAGAGAGAGAGAGAGAGAGAGAGAGAGAGAGAGAGAAACAGAGAGAGAAAGAGAGAAACAGAGAGAGAGATTGTGTGTGTGTAAGAGAGACAGAGAAAGAGAGAGAGAGTGAGAGAGAGAGAGAGAGAGAGAGAGAGAGAGAGAGAGAGAAGCTGTAAATAGGTATAGCAATAAGACAGCCATAGCAGCTATTTTGGTGGCTGGAGGTCGAGAGGGAATGCACCACATCCTGTGCAGAGGCACAATGACAATGACTCCTGGAGCTCTGCCAGCCAATTTGCCATCTTCTTACTGAAAGACACGCTCAAAGTTCGCACAAGCACAAGATCCGTAATTTCCCGCTGGTTTGCGCTGTGCTGCCCAGCAACAGAGAAAATATAAAAAATCCACATGTGGCTGGATTAAACCGTCCTTTTCTGAACACCACTGGAGTTCTGCTATGGCAACCACTAGGGGGCAGTACAGTGAAAACATTGCTACCATCTACCCAGCAACTCATCTGTGTGTTCACATATATTTCTTCATATTGATATTTTAGGAAAGGCCTCTGTGGGTATCAGCACCTTAACACTATTCAGATCGTTAAGGACCTACTTTATATTTGATTCATCATAGCAACAATAACAGTGACTGAAATGTAGTTTATTCCTATTCATGTATTTGCTTGGCCAAAGTGACTTTATGACACAAACAAAACAGATAAAAATCAACAAGGTTACATCTTTAGTAGATCACGATCTTTACACGCAAAATAACTGTGAAAGCAGCATTGAGAAATCATGTTATTAAAGAAAAAGAGCCGATTAAAAGGCAGAAATAGCTGCTGTTTTGTCTGGGCATTAAAGACTCAATCAGAAAACATCCTTATTTGTGTCAGATTGGCAATGCATTCATTTTTCCTTTGTAGCATTAATTAATTCATTCATTTACACTTTTTACATACTACTGTGCAAAAATCAGAGACCACCCTGTCTTTTTTTAAATTTCCAGTCAAAACAGCCATTAATTGAGTTATTTTTTCAGCATCAGGGAAAAAAAGCAGGAAACATATTTAACAGACAATTACACATAATCCACAAGTACTAAATATGATATTATTTTTTAGTACTTTTTGTGTTCGCCTTTTATTACAGCTTCCATTCTTTTCAGGAGATTTGCTCTCAGTTCTTCGAAGAAAGTATGCAAGGATATCTTTCCAAAGTTCAGTCTTAGACATTGGTTTCAGCTTCTTATGATTCAAGTAATTCTGAATGTATTCAGTGATGTTGAGGTCTAGACTCTGGGGTGGTCAGTCCATTGTTCTGAGAACATCAGCAGCTTTTTTGCCTTTGTAAATTGTAAATGTTCTGCTTTGTTCTTCTTTTTTTTCATTTTTTTTCAGTGAGGCTTCTTGAGTTGTCTTCTCATAGTGGAAGGATGGACAGAAACAACTGTGGATGTTTTCAGATCTGAAGCAGCTTGATTTTCTCCTCTCTCTCAAAGATGAAAGCTTTAAGTGCTGTTTATCTGATGGGGACAGTTTTAGTGGTCTAACAGGTTTTGCACAGTTGTTAAGAGTCTCATTTTCTCTGTATCTTTTAATTATTTTTAAACTCTAGTTTTGGAAGAAACTCAATTTCTTCACTGACTTG